TAGCTAACAGCAATATCTTTGAGGTCTGTACTTTCACAATGTTTGTTTGTTGTTTTGTTACGCAAATAGTCACCCCTTTAAGCAATGATGACAAGTACAAATGACATTGTTATAGGTGAATTTTCAGTGGAAAATTATCAGGGCACAGCCGGGAACGGCTGCAGAGCAGGACCATTGTCAGGGAAGTCAAATACATGTGTCAAGAGGAATCTCAGGCATTAATATTTCAAGATCGTGCATGACATCAAAGATTCTCACACATCCTTCCGGTTTTTCAGAGAAAATACATATTCTGCAAAAGCGTATAAGTGGCTTAAATTGGCTTTCATTTGTAGGATGAGATCACTGCGTTTGGGGACATGATAACCCTTGAAGAAAATGTAATCTGTACTTCTAAATCTCTACTTCTTACCAACTTTTATTTTTTTAAATATAATTCAGTCAATTAATCAATTAATTATACTGACCGGTCCAGAAAAATGGACAAATTGTTTGCTGTCAGGACACAGTACCAGCTGTAGCTGTATTGAGCCTAGAACTGATCAAAGACATCATTTGAAAGAAATACAGTCTTAATTAAGACTAGGGTGAATACATGGGAGGGGCCACAATAGCACTGACCTCAGCTGAAAGCTGATTGGCCTCCAGAGTGGCCCCTAGCCTGTCACTCACTGAATCAAAACATATCACTGGCAAATGATAAGGTTGACCCTCCTTCATGAATTACGGCCCCTTTTATGCCGCTCATTTTAAAAATCTTAGAATCATCACTGATTAGAGAAAATGACAACATTCTAAGCAAACGGGTTTCTACACATGAAATAGCATTTTTAAGGTAATATGGAGGCAGAAAGCAAACTGGAAGGTTACGGGAAACCTGAGGTTTATGGCTGAAAGGTGAAAAAGGAGGGCAGAGACTTAGGGATGTGGGCGCACATATATGAGCCGAAGCCCTTAATGTGATGTGCACGGGTACACATTCACATACTGAGAATACTTCGAAGTAACCATATTAATTTTAATGCTTTTATGTAATGTAATATGTAACAGTAATGCTTTTATGTAACACTAATGTTACAAACCCATAGAAAAGGAATCAGTGCAAATTACTTTGGGTTTCTGTTTGACTGCTTTAAAACATATCAAACATATATACTAGTAAAATATTCATTTCTGAATTTCCTTTGGGGAAATATGGACATAAACTTCACATAAAGGGAAACGGCCTTATTCCTTCACCAAAATGACTGGGAGCTTTATAAAACACACAAAATAATACCTAGAAACGGCAATCATAATTACAGATTCCTCTCTAATGGACAGTCGCCTCTATATTTTATATAAAAAGAAGGTTATTGTGTGACCTTAGCTATTAAACTACCTATTATTACAGAAAAATCTGAAAAATAATTGGTCTTGGCGACTTAAAGTCCCAGTAGATCAGACCTCTTTGGCTGCACCGTGGATCTAAAGTGGCCGACGTGCGGTGATCTGGTAATATGGTGACGGCCAAAGATGCACAAATGTAAACAGGTGGTCTGTGCAGATGATTAGCTGCTGCCTTTTAAAGCTTCTCATGGCGATAATTAAGAAGAAGGATGCAGCGTAGCCGTCCACAATGCGCTAGTCCCCCTGGTGTCTCTCCTGAATATTTATTACCCAGTAACTGAACTTTTAAATGATGTGTTCGCTTACTTCGGCAGACTGTCAGGATACAAATGAGTCACACGGCATCCCACGCGGTCATGCACATCCACGGCATAATAAAGCCTTTTGTTTTTTTTTTCCCTTTTCCTAGCGTGGAATAAAAGACCGTTTTCAGGTTCAGTGTGTGGGTTCATAAAGACACCTACTACCATGCACACAAAACAAATTCCCAATGCACCTGCTAAAAAGGGCTATTTTACATCATTTCATTTCTGTGGGTCTCTAACTGAGCGCCCTAGTAAATCTATGTCTCTTTTCTGCCAGATGGGCTGCTTTGCAGATAAGTTTCTTGGATTGACTGACCTTTATATTGCGCCACTAGACATCACACGAAGGTAGGAAACAACGTCCCCCACAAGACAACCCCAATCACGGGGCTTTTAAGTGGTAATGCACCTTATACTCTAGGAGGATGGCTACTACGTTCTTTTGAAGTTTTGACATTAAGGTTATGGTCACAGATTGGGGTAAACGTGAAGGCAGGCTTTGATGGGGCCTCAGTGAAAACAGTCACATGACAGGGGTATACAGGCTGGCCAAAGCATGCCTGAGTAGAACTCCTTCCTAATTGATTTAGCGCTTCAATAGTAAGTCTTGTGTTTGCCCAAAAACAAGCAAAACAAATAAGAACAAAGGGACAAATACGTGTGCTTTCTTTCACTTGGAAATCAAATCGGACTGATAGGAAATGGACCCCTACTGGTTTGTGTCTGTCAGGAATTTGAAAAGGGCAGCTGGAACGATGAAGACGTCTTGTCACATTCATGTAAAAACACAGAAAACGGCTTAGTTTGAAGCATACGTTATAACATTTAATCAATGCATTAAATGGATTACCGTCCTGAGAATATCAAAGAAAAGCAGAGGGTTTCCATCTCTATCTACTTACATCAGTTACTCAAACTCGGTGACAGTATAATCAAGCATGCATTTAGCAGGGAATCACAGAGGAAACACAGACACACACGCACACACACACAAACACACTGTCCATTCATTCCTATGGAAAAAAAACCCCTAATCCCAACTATGACAACCTTAATCCCTACCCAGGCCTAACCTTGATCATAAGTAACCAAACAAAATACAAGACTTTTGACATTTTAAGCTTTTCTGATTGCAGTCACAGATTTTTATAAAATTGAGTTTCCCGAAAAAATGGTCCCTACAATGTCAAAATAACAGGTTTTTAATCGTAAATGTCCCCACAATATAATACATACATGATCCACTCACTCACTCTCAACAATACCACCCATTATTTTACCATAAAACTGCTAATATACATCCTTGGGTCAGATTTGTTCCTACAGCACCGGATACGTTATATTGTCCACTCACAGGCTCACCCTGTACACGAACTGCAGCCTTCCTGCACCAAAAACAAACATGTTGTGTTTATGCATGGCCTTGTGAATAGTTGCCATAGAAACATTTTGTTTTAGGGGTTAGTCAGTGGGTTGTTACTTCGGCTTTATGCAAATTCACTATTTAAATAGTAAAAACACAGGCTAGCATTTCAGCCGTGCAACATGTCATTTTTCTTTCATTATGATTCAGTTAATGAGAGATTTACACAGCGCGAGATGTGATATACGGTCAATCATACAGACGCTTCTTAAAGCACCTTTCAACCATACAGCTTTAAAAAATCCATTATATAAATCTTTTTCTGCAAAAACATTATCAAAAAAAAACAGAGTAAAATTACGTCTCTGATTACTATATCCCACGTTCACTGGCTAATTTATAACTGTATCAAAATTATAAACTTATGCATCAAATAAGCTGCGATCTGCTTTCAGGCAGTGCACGGGAATAATTTAAATATCTGTAACGTGTAAAATTTATATTCAAGTGGTTTAACAGACAGACGTAAAAGCAAATTGTCCTTTTCTGTTAATCAGTGGTTAAAGCGAACCTCGGGCCTTTCCATAATAAGTAAAACGCATGGGTAGGTTGGATGTCTGTAACTGTATTATTATCAAAGGTTTTTTTCGGTATCTGTTTTGATGCAACAGAATCTCCAAGCACAAGCGATTCACAAGCATCAATCAAAGGCAAAGCAAATTTTGACAGAGATTACAATACATTTTACAAGTTTAATAGAATATTCCGCTATCTGACCGTTTCTGACGGCGTGTGTGATGAATCATTGAGCCGCATTGTCTGATAAAAGTATGCGCTATTCTCCAGCCTTCAAATGTCACTACACACTGGAAACGCAAGGTCATACCGCTCTTAACAGGTGTTTTTACTTTACTTTTTTGTGTTGCGATCAGTCACTCTGATTGCATGATGCAACAACATGCCATTCCAGTTCAAAAATCAGGATTGATGAAAGTCTGCTGGTCTCTGTACGGGGAGCGAAGCGTTTTTAAATGGTGCTGCAGCGCCCTCTGTCGCACGAAGAGAGAAAGACAGCCGAACTCCTGCTGTGTCACGCTGAGCCAACGGCAAGAGCTTTAAAGACAAGTCAATTTCTTATAAAATATAAATAATGGTTATAATGTATGCTAGCCACCTTCAATTACATAATTATATGAACATTTTCATCTGTCTTGTCGTGGTTTTTCATAAAATTACATTACCACTCTGCTAGAAAAATGGGATTAGTTTGTAAAAAGAAAAAAGAAAAAAACATTAACATGCTGAACTTTATTTTGTCCACATTGTGGGTGCATATATATACATGTAGTATGAATATCCCGTGAAAAACTGTAGGAGACATGCTGATAAAATGTATTTAGAAACTTCAGGGGAGTGCGATTTGACTTGAGAAATTTCAAAGCTACACGCGCCTATTTTTACGCAGATAACATGTAAGACTCATTCAGACGGCGAGTTAAGGTCACAGCTCAAGGGTACACGGATTGTCATACTGAAGGGTAAGGTGAAGTAAAATGAACACACTGGCAGTAAGGCGTGTTTTATAGAAGCTTGACTTTTACTGGTCTTTTTTTGCCAGACTGAGGCATCGGTGATCAATGTCATGCGTTGAGAATTCATGGCATTACAGAGGCTGCAATGCAACCAGCTATACAACGTATTATAACCAGACAAAATGCATGTGCATAAGTGCAGCGTTGCGGTTACGGTGTTTGTATTTCATCTTATCTGCCATCTCGCCTTCTAATTTGTCTGTCTAATGCACTTGGAACTAAATGAAAACAATAAACTGCGGCGCTGCTGATTACCTCTGATCGTTATTCATCAGATGGAGTTAGCGTGCACCTGTAGTTTAATGCAGCGGTGGCGGGGGGGGGGGGGGGGGGGGGGCGGGGGGAAGGTAAAAAAAAAACAAAACAAAAAAACATTCAAGTTGTTATTGGACATCGCAGACAGAACCTCCTGTCAGTTAGTATCTAATCTCACACGCCACCGCAGGAGGTAATGGGGTAGCCATTCGCGTACTTGCAGGAGCAGGTATTAAATTAGCAAAAATAAGATTATCTAGAACCACCCATGGTACCTGCCGAGATAATTAAAAAAAAAAAAATACAATCAAATTTCCTATTATACTCATCACTCACCAACACTTCCTCTAAACGTGCCTCACACATCGTATGAGATTCGGTTGCCGTTAAATACAATTCCAAGGCCAACAAACGGGAGGCAAAAACATCACACCGCCTGGCTTTCATCGCCAGAACAGTCCTAATGTACATTCAACTTGATCTGAATCATTTGCCCTAGATTACTAACTTGATCTACAGTAATTCCATTTCAAAATCCAATTTAGTGTTATGGTCAGAATCTTGGCATTATAATAATGTGGGTGGTCTAGATGCCAGGATTAATTCCTGGGCCATTTACCCTCAATATCACTTCAACAGAGCATCCAAAAGGCAACATTAATGGTCCAAACCTTTCAATTGCCAACCATAGGAAGCCGCCATTGTTTCACTTGCTACCCTCGTTATTAAGTGTTAAGGTTCTCTCCGTTGGTCTTCCCAGGGAGCACAAACGGGCAGCAAAGGAGCGCCAATATCCTGGCAAATGTTCCCATTTGGCAAGCAGAAAAAAATCAATAGCAATTCAACACATATATTTCTTTAGAAATCAGAAAATTCTACTATGAATTATTCATATTTCTTAGTGGTCCACGTGGTATCTGTCCTTTTTCAAGGGGAAAAGCGGCAAGTGTATACAATGTTTGATTTCTTGCAGGTGAAGAAAGGAAATGTTCAGAATGTTTACAATTGGGCACTGTCCCTTAGATTGGTTAAGTGAACATCTGGTCACCATGGAGAAGCTATCTAGTCATGCTTGTGCGCTTTGCCTTTGACAGGCTCTCCATTGGCTGGACTGCCCATGCTGTTGGGCAGCTTGGCCTGAGCCATCAAGCTTCTGACGGCGTCAAGAGGACCCTTTCCCTCCAAAGCCGAGGGGTGCCTGTATGAGCGACCGATGCGGTCCCACAGGGTGAAGTATTGGCCGTAGTTGAAGTCGAAGAAGAGGTGGTGGTCAGTATGGTGCGCGGAGCCGTTGATGACCTTCTCCAGCAGCTTGGGGACCCGATAGTCGCCGTCGTGGATGGATACGGTCCACATGTTGACAAAGACGTATAGGCCTAGGTACAGCACCTTGTGGAGCGGGAACAGGAAGGGGTAGACGTGGTAGGGGAGACCCTGGAGGAAGCCGTCCACGGGGTGGAAGGCGTGGCTGGCAAAGGGCGTGGGGATCTTCCACACGTGATGGGGTTTATGAAAATGCTGCAGATCACACCAGAACATGAGGCTGAAACACCGACATTTTACAGGACTTCGAAAAAAATAAAAATAAATAACAGCTCACAAAAGGGTGATTATATATTTGGCAAGTGGATGTACTTCCACTCATAAGATTCTTATCCTGAAACAGTGGGTAGAAACTCTGACCCAGGAACACCACACTGGCTCATGGGTTGTTCCATCTGAAGATCTGTATGCATGTTTGGGTTGTCTAGTACTCTGACTGTAATTTTGATACATCCTGACATTCCTGAAGTGTTTTAGATACACATTTTCAGGGCTGCGCAGTGTCACATCAATATTATATCGCACACAGGCAATAATCACCAGGGCTTCAGATGACAGGCGGCACATTTGGCCGGATGTCAGTTTTTTGGTACTATATGGACGTTTATTTACACCCACAATTTGTTAAGCAGATTAGTGTTGCACATAAAATATTAATGAGATGCATTTTGAGACACCCAAAAAGTTAGTAATCTGTAGAAACTTGGAGTATCTTTATGCTTATTAAATTCGGTTAGCGGAGCACACCACATAATACTGATGTGGTATACTTCAGTGTGATATGCACTGTAGCAGAGCACACTGCATAAAACTGTTTTGGTATACTATGGTTTGGTATACTTCAGTGTGATATGCACTGTAGCAGAGCACACTGCATAAAACTGTTTTGGTATACTATGGTTTGGTATACTTCAGTGTGATATGCACTGAACTGGCAGTGAAGAAAGGAACAGCTCAGCAGCAACGACATCTTTTAAAAAGAGGAGATCTTGTACATAAACAAGGTAAAACCATGTAGGTGGTGTGGTGGTATTTTTTGCAGTTCAAAGTTTTATTTATTAAACGTAAGGATATGCTAAATTTACACTAATTACTAACTTTTGGGCATCATAAAATGCCTCGATATTTTAGGCGTATTTATACTAACCAAAATGGTGAAATGAAAGATTTAAATTTAAAGTACTACTTGTGATAAACTACTTGCATGACTTAAGATTTATTGATTCTGAAACTTTAGAAATGAATGTTGGATGAATTCTAATTAAAATGAATGTTACTGTTTTGAGTACGAAAATTTTTTTTCAACCAAACCATATTTAGGCAACATATTTAACTTTGCCTACTTCAAAACCAAGAATTTAAGAATTACTAATAAAATCACAAAGGTAAGCAATTTAATCCAATTTATGTGAGAGTAAATTTAACTTTAACGAGGAGTTTCAAATATTGTTCATAAATCTGATTTCATGCAGTAATATTGCAGCATGCCAGGTACCTGCCACAAACTCCGTTAAAGCAAACATTACGGACATTACACAATATTCAAATACCACACTAGCCTAATGTTTAACTTCCATATTTACCTTGTAAATAAGTTTGTGGTGAAGAATCCGGTGGATCCAGTAGATGCACATATCAGTAAAAAACAAGAAAGAAAACATGCTGAAAATTACCCCCGGCCAACCTAAAAAAAAAAAAAAGGAACAGTAACTTTGATATACAACATAAAGTATACAGAGGTAGAAAGGGAACTCCTAAGTTCACAGCACTGTTAGTGAGACTCACAGAACTTACCAAACGGAGACTCATTGACATTGTCGTAAAGTTTGCTGTATCCTCTGACTTCAGCCAAGAACAAGGCCACTGTAGGAATACTGATCCATGGTAGAGAGCTCATGGCATACTTAATCTCTCTACGCACCTGGTTCTGCAGGGGAACCAAAGAGATCACAATACTGCTGGTACACATAATTGTTTGTAAAGTAAAAAAAAAAACTGATTTATGGAGTCTGTATAAAGTGGAGCAGAGGTGGGCCACAAGGGCACTGGGTGACTGGCCCCCACTGGGAGCTGACTGGCCACCTGAGTGACCCCCCTCCCTTGCCACTCACTGCTTCAAAACACATCATTGGCTCTGTATGATTTATGGCCTCTCTTATGTTCCCCACCTTAATAAATAAATAAATACACCATAGAATCGCCCCTGCAATGGAGAAAAAAAATACATATTACAAACCTCTAGAAACTGCGGGTGTTTCATTAAGTCGTGGTCAAAGATAAAATAGTAGCTGAGGTAACCCATGACCAGGTACAAGATGGCTGCCCCCAGGTTTGTCACAACCAGCAGCCCGATGATCTGGCGCACAGGTTCGTCCTCGGGCCATGATTCGGGGTACACATAGGGGGAGAAAAAGTAACGGTCTGCGAAGCTGAGCACGAGATCCATCCTCCCAACTGGAAAACAAGCACAGGTAATAGTATGAAGTCTACACATTATATCTATACATTCAAGTGTCCTATATAGTCACTGACTTACTTATATATAAAAAGTTTACACTTGTTGGCAGAACATTTGAAATGTCACACCTTATGGCTATCGTTTGCTGACTAAATTAGAAATTCTATGCCGAAATGTGGACGCTACATGCATGGTTACATTTCATAGATTAGATGTTATAAGTTCACATACGCTATAACACCATTTATTAAAAAATAATTACAGCATGTTGGGTGCACTGTATATTCACACACACGGATACTTGCGCACATGTACATATGCATTGTAACATTTCACTGATCATAATATAACAGTATGACAGACAGCATAGAGTGCAACAGAAAACAAATTAACTAATCCTGAAACTAAACTGAGGTGACACTGACATCGACACGTTTTCATCTTATATTGAGATTTAACCAGTAACCAGATTAGTTCAAAATAAGCAAACTGCGCAGAACAACTTCCAGTTTACTGGCTAATGATGCCTCTGGCTTTACTAGCGACAGCAGACAGATTAAAATAAAACAAAGTTTTTAACTTTTTAAATTAACTTTCTCTATTCCGATCCACATTTAACCATCACATAAAGGGAAAAGTCTATATACACGCACTGACAACGCATTACGACGCACCTACCTGTTCAGATTTAACCAGGAAAACTAGCAATTCTGCAAGAAACACAGGTGATGTATTTCAGTAACCAATAAACGTTCAGCCGAGATCATGAGGTAATGAAAATCTAACCAATAGAAATGCGACTGAGCGTCAGCTCGCGATAGCTTTCTTCGTGTGATTGGACCATCAGCTGATCAGATCATGGCGCTAGCACCTAGTTTGGTCTGAAGTTTTAAAGATACAGAGTCAATGTACAGAGGAAATCTGCCAAAATTATTACGAGCGTCAGAACAAAGGGCAAAGCACTGTCACAATGCGTTATCGACGTCGTAAATCTACGCTGATCTTGGCATTTTCTATAGAAACTTGAAACATATAGGGGTTACAAAAGTCACCTAAAACAAGATTAACACAGCTAAAGCACAAAGGAAAGGGAAATCAGCTCGATTTTATAATGCATAAATTTAATTGAAATCCTTTGCACACGAAACGGTTGTTCAAATTTCATAAACTGGGAACTAATATTTCGTGCTATTGCTTTCCACGGTCTTGTTTTGAAAGGCACAGAGCCCGACCCCGGAAGAGGATGACGTTTAATTAGAGCGACTTCTTAAATCTTCTTCGTTTCCCCAGCGCAGGATTGCGTTAACATAAGCACGCTTATTTTAACTGCATATATAATTTTTTTTTGTTAATTTCGTTAACTTGCGCGTACGTTTTCGCTAGATCACAGCACATTTTTATAACGTTTCGCATCGTTTGCCCTGACGCAGATCGTATCGATCTGGTTATTCAGAGATGGACAGCGAAGTACAGAGAGATGGAAGAGTGTTGGATCTCACCGATGATGCCTGGAGGGAGGACCGTCTGCCCTATGAGGATGTCACCATACCGCTGGTAAGCCCCCCTGTCATACGGCTAGAAATGGCTGCTCATTCGCGCAATATATGCCGCACGACAACAAATTTACAATATATATTTTCCCGTCGTCGGGACTTTGAGATATCGGCTTCGCCTTTTCTTCGTTTCATCACAGAAATTAACACGGTAATTTAACCAATTAGAACGATTGTCACTTGATTTCAAATGAAGTTAGCAAACGTCACAACCTTTTATATGGATGCACACGTCACTTAAAGCGGAGTAGACATTTGTTGGGGCGGTGATCTAATCGCCGCTAAATATTCTGTCAAACGCATTTAACTACGCTTAAAAACAGAAAAAAAATAATTTACATGTACGTTACCAGCTGTGAATCTCCAGACCCAGCACGCCCCGTTTGAGGGACAAAAATATCTGGAACAAATAACACTCTCTGGTTATGTTAAGACTGAAATGAAATGTGGAATTTAATTGCAGCTTATTCTAAACTATTTTAAACTCTTGAGAACTTCTTAGGAAACGTAGTGTAAATTGAAACCACGTTCTGTAGCTGAGAAGAATTGCTGCAGGAGTGTACCTCTAATAGTTATATTGGGTAATTTGTTTCTGCTGTGAAGTTGAATTAGATCCGGGAGTTTGGAGCCAAAGGATGCATATTTGCAGTCCTGTTAGATGACCTTGATATTGTTCAATCAAAGTTGCAGACACCCGGACAGGATCTCATGCGGCACCTAAAAATTAATATGATCCCCTCTTCTCTAGAGTGAACTCCCTGAGGCAGAGCAAGACAATGGAGGATCTACAGAGTCCGTGAAAGAACAAGAGATGAAGTGGTCCGATTTGGCCCTGCAAAGTCTCCATGAAAACACTCCCAGTACTGGGAACTAGCGGGCCAGACGCAAGGGCAAGACGAATGGTCATACTGGATTGAGAATATACTGGCTTTTCACTACAAAGATGAAAAATATTGTAAATAAATATACATGCACATGAGAAAATTAAGTTTTGCTTTGAGAGATTTGCACCCCAAAAACACCAGCTAATTTATTAAAATAGCTATGGTGCAAATTTTGGAGGAATGGTACCTCATTCAAATTGTGCAAACAGCGTGTCAAACTAAATGTTAACTGGGAAAGATTCAATCTTAAAAAAATACACAAAACTGGTTAATTTCATTTTTTAATTTTGTTCCAACTTTTGTATGGATTTGTTTACGTACATATATACCTCTGTATCTCACAATAACCATGTAGAATTGAGATGTTTTTATTGCTGCCTAAAACAGATTTCATTGTCTGATTTAAATATGCAGTGTTCATTTTCAAATAATGACCATACAAAAATAATGGAACAGTCTAAACGGTGTCACGTATTTGAGAAATTAATGTGAAAACAATGACTGGGAAGTGATTGCCCAAGTCATTTGTGAACCACCCACTGTAAGTTATGCAACATCGGATACTACAACCATTCTCAGAATCCACAATGGTCTTCAATTAGGTCTCCTTGCCAGCATCATTCTTCACACCTAAAAGTAAAGTCTGTGGCCATTAATAGGCTGTTTAATAATTAAGTGTAAGACGTATTCTCTGCCAAGACAACAATCTATTTGTACTGCAGTTTCCTAGTTGAATTCAGAAGACAAACAGTACAGGAAAAAACCCACAGGGACTCCTATGATTACTGTCTCTGCATCTCAGATTTAGGTTCCAGAGGCAAAGAGTTGTGCCCACAGGTCCTCTCATCATCATGTAACTGGGTCAGTGATATTGGTCTAATATTTTAGAATAGCGTACATTCAGAAATAAGTTTGTGTTCAGGATCTACATAATTTAAATGCTGTACGGATTAGTTCCATCAGTAGCAGTTATGAGAGAGAATGTTTGGAATGACAAGCATTTTTGAATGCGACTGGTTAAAAATAGCATTTTAATATAAAATAATGCAGTATTTATTAGTAATCCTCATCCAAAATAGTGACAGAAAATGAAATTGTTATATAAAAAACCTTAAGTGTCTGTCTTCATGAAGGACACTGCTTGAACCAAACCTTCAGGCTCAAGCATATCCCTTGTCCTGTTTATTAGCATACGGTCATTTCTATTTGAAAATGTCACACTGCATTAGTTAAGGAAATGTCAGACCAATACGTATAAACAGCATAAATAAGACTTAATTCACTGCTATTTCAGAACAGTTTTGTTGTAATATTCCACAATAACATTTTATAGTCCAGTTATTGATACAAAAGATGTTCACATTTAGCACAGCGCTAGGCGGCTCGTCCAGCTACCTTTCAGTGTCTTGGGTTGGGGGACACCACATTATTTTACAATGGGGGAATGGTTTTGGAGTCTGTGACACAAACATTTTATAAGTAACAATGGACCAAACCCAATATGAATACCAACAAAAACTGCTTCCGCCAAAAACTCAACACTACAATCTGACATCAGTTCACATTTTGGTATTTACATCCTTATAAATAAAATACTCAGTCTTTTTCAACCCAGTTCTCAGGGACCCCCAGTGGTCCATGTTTTTGCTCACTCCCAGCCCTGGGACTGGGTTGAGTAACACTGGTTTCACTGTAGTAATTATGAGTGGATCAAATTTAACCTTTATTATGGTGGTGGGATCATTGGGGTTTTTCCTCTCTTTCATACCTTGTTCTACCAAAATTGAGATAATTTATTAATCATTTACCAGAACATTACTTTTTTTTGGTTAACAGAGGATGTGTCTTCTACATAGGCAGCTGTGTTGGAACCTTCCATCTATTTTCTGTACATGCTTGTGCTACGCAGAGTAGTGGGGGTCTACAGCCTATCAGCACAAAGCAGGGAATAACCCATGAAGGGGCACCAACCCAACACAGGGCGGGCGGGCGGATGCACGCGCACACACACACACAATTTGGTAACTCCAGTTCACTTTTCACTTTTGCATGTTTTTGGACTGTGGGGACTAAACTGGAGGATGCCCCAGAACGACATGGGGAGAACAGGCTGGAGAAATAAACTGGACATGGTCCCAGAGGTTTGAGGTGACACTAGCCACTGCACAACCATTGTTGCCCTCTGTTCTGGAATCTTCTATCTTTAATAGTGAAGAATCAAACACTGTGAAAGCAAAGACACCCCCCAGACAGCCTATGATATGCTGGAAGCCGTGTAAAATTGCAGACATACTTACATACACATTCCCATGGGTTAGTGATGAGGCCGTAATTGTGTGTTTGATGCTTCCAAGACTTACTTTTGTAACTAGAAACCTTTTGAAGCATGCAAAATCTCCATTTTGAAATAGAAAAGGTTTTTTTTCTTTTTTGCATTCAGATGTTTTTTTTTAAATCAGCAATTAAATATTCTAAATGTTGCAAATCCTTTTAATGTCCTTTGAGACAAAAAATTACACTGCCATAATACATAGAATTATTCTTAAGACAGTTTATATTACTATTCTGACATTCAGAAACGTATTTTGACACTTTCAGGAATGAATGCTGTGGTCAAAACAGGTTCGCTTTGATATTTGGTCCGGTTTGTGAGAGAAAATGTGAAGTGGTAAATTCCTAAGGCGTCCTGTTTCTACACCCCCCCCCCCAAACATTAGACTGGATTATAGTGAAAACAGAGGAGATTTTAAAATGTCATGCTGTCACGCAGTAAACAGTGGGTGCAGTCACGGCACAGCGGTGGAGAACCACTTGTTTTCAGAAGTGACGTCGGCCTCTCTGTAACTCATGGTTGTGGGCCCCCAACCCAATGCACAGACATCGAGACCACCGAATGCACCGGCCAAGCATGTACTCAGAGGATTGGAAGGGCGTGATCACATATACATTCCATCCTCTGCAACATCTAGAAAGTACACAATGTAGGCTGATGTACACAGAACTGTACTGTGAGAAATAGTGTACATGCATTTCTGAAATGCAAACCTTAAATCCCATTACCTGCCCCCACCCACCCAAAAAATCCCTTATAAGCAATAGTTCCCCCCATTTCTATATTTTTGATTTTATGTACCATTTGTTAAACACATATATACATATATGATAAGTAACCGCTGTGTGGCATTCTAGATAATGGAAGAAATTATGGTACATTCAGGTCAGTAAAAAGTCTTTGTAATTTTCTTTACATTTCTTTAAAAATACAAAGAAAGAAACGCAAACGCAGACAGTCCACTGTCCTGCAGAGGCTGCTGAATTTACTGAATCACTTTTTTTTCCTTTTTTTTTTTTTTTTTTATTAATTTGTCTTAACTAGTCAGTTTATTTGTAAGTCTGTCACTCAGCATGTATTTCTGTCTCAGGCCTCTGGAGGGACAGCTCAGCTGGGAGGAAGGCCCCCTGCCCCAGGGCAGTGGAATATGCCCGAGCGCTTTGTGGGGTTGTGAATCCTGGGGTTGCGTAAGGAGCGGTGCCTCCTCGGCTGGAGACCGGAGTCTGTGACTGTGTCTGAGGGACAGGGTGATAGTCATCCAGGTTGTCGTAGTGCGACAGCATGGTCATGGTGCTGTGTCTCTGCCCGTGAGACTGGTAGGAATAAGACCCGCAGTGCTCCCTCTCTGGGTTCTCCTGTAGGTGAATGGTGGAGGGACTGGGCTGGTGGTAGTGGTGCCGCTCTCGCATGCTGTGGGACCTCTCAGGCTTGGGAGGGGGGACGGGTTTCACGGGGGCTACCTGTGGCTCTTCTTCGGGGTAGCTGCCGGTGGATACGGGTGCGATCCTAATTGCGTGCCTGTCTTGGTCAGAGCGCTCGTAACGAGATGGGTGCCCCCGGGGTTCGGGGCATTCTGGCCAATGCCTGCCACCGGCGCCTCCTTGCTTGCTGTCTCCTGGATCGCCTTTGGAATCTGGACGGCTTGGCTCCTGATGCGCAGGGAGGTTCCGCGGAGCCGGCTGGGGCGGAGGCTGGTGCGGGTGTTGTGGATGATGATATCCGGTTTGGTTGCTATGGGAGCCGCTTGGCTTGAGCGGTACAGCTGGCTTGTCGGCCATTCCATTGCCCTGGTAGTGCTTTTCGGTTTCCATGTACATGAAGACGTCGGGGTCGGACAGCAGGTGCCTGGGAGGATGCTGAGAGGCCGGCATGACGCCGTACCGCCCATCTTTACCCTCGGCAGTCATCAGGACCGTTTTTCCAGGATCAGATTTGCTGCGGAGGTGCAGGACTTCCATTCCTCCTGGATCTCCAGGAATGAAGGGACTCACGTTATCGTACTGAGACATAACCGGGCCTTTCGCTTTTTGCCTTGCCCTGTTTTCCCGTCGGACAGAGTGCATGCGGAGTCTCTCAGACTCCTCGGGATCCATAGCCAGGTAAACTGAAGCCCCTTTCGAGCTGTGGGAGGGGGGCATGTCCCTGCTCACAAAACTGTGCTCCTTACCACTGGGCAGGACGTGACGCGATAAGTAGTGGTAGTTCCCAGCTTTGGCACCCGCTCTGTTATGGGGCGGGGCCAGGTCTCGGCTGCTGAAGGAGTGAAAGTGTCGCAGCCGGATGGTCCCGTATGGGTCCACATCATAGTAGGGCGCATCCAGGGGGCTGGTGCTAGAGTAGGGGCTGTAACGGTACTGCACTCGGCCATTCTCGAAGTAGGGCTGCAGCTGGGTTACGTGGTAGTCTGATTGCACAGGCTGCTGATACGACTTACACTGGTAGATCGGCCGCTGGTAGTAATACAGCTCATCGTCTGGCGGCACCTCGGTTCGTGTGATTGGCACGGAGCGGATGGCAGTAGGTGGCACATGCAGAGAGTGGACCCGGCGGATGGTGGGGTACACCATGGCACTGTCCATGGGCCCATAACCCTGACTCCGGTGCCCGGAAGACCCGCCCGGAATGTACTCTCCTCTGTGAGGGCCACGAGATTTGATGGATTGATGGAAAGATCTGGGTCCAATGGTATTGTAGCGGCCGTCAGAACGAGCGCTATAGATAATCTGAGGCTCTGATTTAGAAGCGTAGGACAAATGCGGTGGCACGCTGTCAGGCCGATAGTGATATGCCATTGAAGGCTGGCCCACCGGCATCACCCTCTGGTGGTAATATGCCTCAGCCGCAGCCTCCAACGCGCTTTCTGCCTTTGGGTGGTACATGTAGGTGGGCTGGAGGACCGAAGGTTTCCGTGGCGGCCGGGGCGGTTGTGGAAGGGCCTCCTCCACTGAGGATGGTATGGCAGCTTCCGCCAGGATCGTGTGGAAGTTGGAAGCATTGGCTGCCTCCGAATTGGAGAGAGCCGCAGTCGCCAGCTTGCTCTCCATGGAGCGCACAGGCGGAGTTGGAGGCGTGGGCCCATAGCCTTGATACACCGGTACCGGATCTGTCCGAGGGTGGGCCGCCTTCGGAGCTTCCCAGGGCTTATCCGCTTGTTCAGTGGGCGTAGTCGGAACGGCAGAGGTCCAGGTGTTGGCTGGCGGCTGCACGGTCGTGGTAGACTGCTCTGCAGGTTTTGGAATACTCGGTGTGATGTCGACGCCTACCCGTGTCTAAAAACAGGACAGAGACAAGGGTTCTTAGATCAATCTGAGAAGGGATACCCCCTCAAACTGCAAGTGCATGCTTCCCATTTCCCAATTACTCACCTCCATATGTGGCATGGCTCCCAAATCATTGTTAGTGGTGGTAGTAGAGGTGGTGGTGGTGGATGGGCTGATGCTGGTGCTGGCAGTAGTGGTGCTAGAATAGCTGGTCACAGGTACTTGGCCCAGGGCAGGCTGCTGCCTTTCTGGACTTTTTTGAGATAGAGATGTTTGAGGGGCTTGGGGGGTGGCAGGAGAGGTAACCTTGACAGACTCTGTTAAGGAGTCACTCATGGTGACAGGCGCACTGTCATTCTCCTGGTTAGCGCTGGATGCTGCAGGTGGCCAGGTACTGCTGGATTTGGTAAGGTGCAAACTAGCCACTAGTGCTTGGCTCTCGGCAGGTGATGCAGCCGAAGGAGGGGAAGAGAAGGTTGGCATCGGGGAATCCGTCACCAGTTCAGGGGTTGCTGGGGGTGGGAGGGGAGGCGGTGGTGGCCACTCCAGGGTATCAAGGGGGGACATAGGTGTCGGGGGCCCCGAGGGCCGTCTCTGGGTGAAAAAGCTGGCTTGTTGGGCAGACTCGGCTAGGGCCAGGGCGAGCATGCGGGCGGCGTTCTTTGGAGGGGGAGGCGGTGGGAGAAGGGACACTGAACTTACAGGGGCGGGGGCCTGTGAAGAATCCATAGCTACGGCTCCTGGGGAGGGACAAAACAGAAAGGACCATAAGCTGGGGTTAACACATGGGAAAGTAAGCTGATTTTTAAGAGCAGAAGGAGCAGGAAGGATTAGGGACGAGTGTGTTGTTACCCTGAGTTCCCCTGAAAAACAGACGCTCATCTCCCCCCGTTTCACAGAAACACATTACAAAGGCTAAGGTGTCAAGAGTATGAAACCACAGAGGAAGATTAACCCTCTTAAGAGTGTTCCGGCATATCAGGAAGCAAGCCCATGTGACATGCATGATGGCAGTATGCTGGTACCTGCTGTCCATTGACCTTGCTGCGTTGGAGGGCAGACGGGCCCGGTGGGTCCGGAAGCTTCTGTGCATTCTTTGATGTGGTCTCTGTTCTCAGGGACCTTCCCGAGCAGCTCCGGCAGGCTGCCTTCACTTGGGGCAGCCTCGTTGGTCTTTAGAAGCATGGCAATCATGTCGGGTGGGGGGACCAGAGAGCCCTGGGGAGACTGGGCGGGGGAAGGGGGCTGGGGACCATCTGTCTTGGGGGTTTGGTTTGGAGTGGATGCCGCTACGGGCTCAGGGACAGCCAAAGGGGGCAGCTTGATGCTCTTCTGCGACGTTTTAGGGGAGAAGGCCTGCACCACTTTTTCAGCGAGGATGGCGGTGGCATGCTTCTTGCTCTCTGCTTGAGCCCCCAGAGCTGGACTGAAGTCGGGAGACGCTAAGAAAGGGGTCGAGGCTTTCTCTGGGGAGGGGGAGACTGGTTCTGAGAAGCTGGCCAATGGGCTCATCCTTAGACCGCCGGCCTCCCCCACCAGGTCTGGGGAGGGAAATGACGGCTCACCAAGGGGTAGACTACACTGGAAGGACATGGGGTCGAAGTCCAGAGAGGCCACACCGATGTCGGGGGGGCTGAGGTCCACGTCCTCGGCAGAACGTGGAGGCGAGATGAGGGCCGGCACACAGATGGGGCCCTCATCGCCGTCGCTGTCCCCCTGGCCCAGGTTGTCATACGAGTTGCAGTGGTGCCGCCCGTCCAGCAGGTCTCCATTGAAAGAGGCGGACAGGGCGTCACTGCTGGAGCGAGGTCTGCGGGGGCGGTACACCTTCGACTCGCCTGAGGAAAATGAGTCCCAGTAATCGTTAAAAAAAAATATAGACTAGAAATGTATATATACCACCACAATGAATCCGAATATTTAGCAATCACAAGAAGCACAAGAAATTCAGCGTGATGGCCTCCTTTTAGAGATGTGTATGGGGTGGGGCTGGCCCCAGCTGAAAGCTGATTGGCTGCCAGGGTGCTCCATCCCCTGTCACTCACCTATTCAGAACATATCATTGGCTATTGATAAAGCTGGACCCTCAATGTAAATTCTGGCCCCTTTTATGCCCATAAATGCCCTTGTTTCCTTCCTTCAAATTTAAAGGAAATGATAAAATGTGAATCAGCCTATCAGAATAGGCGTAGTAATGGTGGGTGGGATTTAGAATGCAAAGACACGCCTACAGACACACCCACCAGGTCCACAAGACAATTTTAACTAGAGTCATGACAATGTTTTCGGATAAAAAGTAGGAAAAAGAAAAGTAAGATTACCTTCCACATTGTGCAGTGAGGTGAGAGACTCTTCACTTTTGGCGGAGCGTAGAGTCCCTGTATCTCCTCTGCCTCCTGGAGAAGGCGTGAAGAGGATGAGTAAAATCAGGAGTGATGTTCTGAACCTGGGGGTTGGAGGTGTTCTGACGGACGAGGATGGGGGGCCTCACCTGCAAGCGCCATGGCCTTCAGCTCATTGGGCTCGCTGGGGTTGCGCTGCAGCTTGCGTTTGGCCATAGAGGAAGACTTCCCCAGGCTGAAGAAGGACCGCCAGCTGCCCACTGGGGACTTCTTTGATTTGATAGGGGGCCTCTTCCTATAGTAGTGGGGAGGAACGTTGCCAAAGGCAGAAAGTGCTCTCTCAGAAGCAAGGATCACTGTGCCCCACCGCCGCATGAAACCACAGCTCCCTGGAACTGCAGCAGCGCTGGCAGGTTGCGACATGCTCTCGATCCACCAGGGCACTTAAAGCACTCGGCGCAACTAATTGCTACACTGGCTGGCTCGGTTTGGTCGCCGCTCTCCCATCGCTGCGGCTGAGCAAATTGTAGCAAAACTGGAAAACCTCAGGGCACACGAGCACCACAGCCTGCCAGGCTCGGGTCAAATCCACTCATTTACTGGACGTTATTTACCCCTTGACTAACAGTCAACGGCCACGGCTTTCACTGTCTGAACGAGGCGGGACTCACCTCTCGGTGGGAAACTCGATGACTGTATGGAACTTGCCCTGAAGGGCGGCAGGACCCTCCCCCACCTCGATGTATTTGCTATCAGCGGTGACGGGGGAGTTTATCTGGGCCTGGGTGCGTGCCTGGGCCTCCTCGAGAGTCAGCAGCTTGGTGGAGGGCGAGGACACCAGCAGGGACTTGGGCCGGGATAGAGAATTATGGCCTGAGAGACACGGTTGGAGATGAGGTGACGCTCGAGTCGTAGGTTTTCATTAAAAGGATGATATGGTCCATAAGCTAGTCTGAGAGAAGGTTCCCCGACGTACCGGCACCCTCTCGGATCAGCGAGCTGAGCTTGGGGCTAAAGAGCACGTCCACGTGGTTGAGGATGAATTCCACGACCACGGACTGGATGCGCACCTCCATGAAGGCCGCCGTGCCGCTGAAGCAGGCCGACTCAATCTGCTTGGACCTGAGTGAGGAACATGTAGGCCAAAGGGTCAGCAGACAACAAACCATATGTTGGCCTAAACAGCAATCATGTTAGACAGACAGACAGACAGACAGACAGACAGACAGACAGACAGACAGACAGACAGACAGGCAAACAGGCAGGCAGGCAGGCAGGCAGGCAGGCAGGCAGACAGACCTTATTTATCCCCCGAGGGACAATAAGTTGTCATGGTAGCCAGACACATTTAAATAAACAAATAAAGTAAAAAATAAAAACTAACATTATAAACCAATACAATCATTTAAAAACAACAGTATACTGACATAGGATACTGCAACAGTGGGGGGGGGGGGGGGGGGG